GGCAGCAGCCTCCTACTAGTTATCCTCCCCAGACTGGATCCTACAGCCAGGCTCCAAGTCAGTATAGCCAACAGAGCAGCAGCTACGGGCAGCAGAGTTCATTCCGATAGGACCACCCCAGTAGCATGGGTGTTTATGGGCAGGAGTCTGGAGGATTTTCCGGACCAGGAGAAAACCGGAGCATGAGTGGCCCTGATAACCGGGGCAGGGGAAGAGGGGGACTTGATCGTGGAGGCATGAGCAGAGGTGGGCGGGGAGGAGGACGCGGTGGAATGGGCGCTGGAGAGCGAGGTGGCTTCAATAAGCCTGGTGGACCCATGGATGAAGGACCAGATCCTGATCTAGGCCCTCCAGCAGATCCTGATGAAGACTCTGACAACAGTGCAATTTATGTACAAGGACTAAATGACAGTGTGACACTTGATGACCTGGCAGACTTCTTTAAGCAATGTGGGGTTGTTAAGATTAACAAGAGAACGGAGCAACCCATGATCCACATCTACCTGGACAAGGAAACAGGAAAGCCCAAGGGTGATGCCACGGTGTCCTCTGAAGATCCACCGACTGCCACAGCTGCTGTGGAGTGGTTGAATGGGAGAGATTTTCAAGGAAGCAAACTTAAAGTCGCCCTTGCTCGGAAGAAGCCTCCAATGAACAGCATGCGAGGTGGCACGCCGCCTCGTGAGGGCACAGGGCTACCGCCACCACTCCGGGGAGGTCCAGGTGGCCCAGGAGGTCCTGGGGGACCCATGGGTCACACGGGAGGTCATGGAGGAGACAGAGGAGGCTTCCCTCCAAGAGGCCCCCGGGGTTCCCGTGGAAACCCTTCTGGAGGAGGAAACGTCCAACATCGAGCTGGAGATGGGCAATGTCCCAATCCGGGTTGTGGAAACCAGAACTTCACCTGGAGAACAGAATGCAACCAGTGTAAGGCCCCAAAACCTGAAGGCTTCCTCCCGCCACCCTTCCCACCCCCGGGTGGTGATCGTGGCAGAGGTGGCCCTGGTGGCATGCGGGGAGGAAGAGGTGGCCTCATGGACCACAGTAGTCCTGGTGGAACGTTCAGCGGTGGCCGTGGTGGAGACAGCGGTGGTTTCCGTGGTGGCCGTGGCATGGACTGAGGTGGTTTTGGTGGAGGAAGACGAGGTGGTCCAGGGGGCCCTCCTGGACCTTTGATGGAACAAATGGGAGGAAGAAGAGGTGGACGTGGAGGACCTGGAAAAATGGATAAAGGCGAGCACCGTCAGGAGCGCAGAGACCGGCCCTACTAGACGCAGAGACCCCGCAGCGCTGCATTGACTACCAGATTTATTTTTTAAACCAGAAAATGTTTTAAATTTATAATTCCATATTTATAATGTTAGCCACAACATTATGATTATTCCTTGTCTGTACTTTAGTATTTTTCACCATTTGTGAAGAAACATTAAAACAAGTTAAATGGTAGAGTGCTGAGTTTTTTTTCCTTCTTTCAAAGATGGTTGTTTAAGATTTAACAATGGGAACCCTTGTGAGCATGCTCAGTTATCATTGTGGAGAACCAAGAGGGCCTCTGACTGTAACAATGTTCATGGTTGTGACGTGCTTTTTTTAAAAAATAAAATTTCAAATGTTTATAAACAAACAAAAAAAAGCACATAGCACTTGTGGCCTGCCAAGAGGACTTCCTGGACAGTGGTGCCTGGACCTCCAGCATGCTCCTTTCTTACCCCATGGGTTAATTTCAGTAACTTCATTTCATGAACTGCTGGGCTGGCATGACGATTACTGCAAACGCAGAGCAGGATCTATACCAGAAGTGACTAGAGAATTTGGCTGCCCAGTAGTCCCATTTATTATGAATAGTTGCAGAAACCGTCCATTCAGCCTTTAGATATCAAGCACTCCTTGACCTATGTGTGCTTCTAGACTTGCCACAGTGTATTGATTGTCTAAGAAAGGCAGAGACTGTAGAGAACACTATCTTCAATTCTGTCCAAGAAAAAATAATGCAAAAACCAAAGTACATCTTTCCCTTGCTATAAAAACTGAATCTGAAAACATCATATTTTTATAAGATGGAAACTTCAAACAACATGAAAGAAATATTGCAGGCACAGTTTGCTTCTTTTTTCATTTTGCTGAAGCCTGGCAGAATATCCTTCTTCTTTGGGTCTCTTGATGAATTTGGGCATCTTAATAACTCGCTCAATTTCTCCCGTAGGGTTATGGATGATCTTCTCATACAGTCAACACTACTCTTCCTGAAAGAGGGGGTGGGGTGGAGGGATCCAAGTTTCAGAGCCTGCGTGTCAGTTATTTTCGTGGCCACATTAACCCTTCAGTGAAATGATATCTAGAATAAATTGCTTGCTATAGCAAGAATTAACCTCTGTGGATGATAGGGGGAGGGCCCCAGAATTGTGTGAGTTCTGCGCGTGTGTGTGTGTAATGAAAGCAAGAGTTTTGTCCTGAATCAGATCGAAAGAACAGTCTCAAGATCCGTCACACCTAACTTTGAGATCCCCACACCTCAGCATCAGTCAGACAAAAATATCTTCATCTCATCCAATCGGTAAGCAGAAAGTAGGTATACAAAAATTTGGTTCCAAGCTAAGTCCCATGCCAACAGTTAATGTCCCAACTTTCTGTTCTTTGTGTCTTCACAGAATTCCCCCAAACTCTTTTGCCCTAAAAACAGAAGCTTTGACATAGATGCCATCTACAGCGTGATAGACGATGCCAAGCAGTACGTCTACATCGCCGTCACAGACTACCTGCCCATCTCCAGCACAAGCACCAAAAGGTCAGTGAGTGCCCACCCCGAGGGAGCGCGCGGCCTCAGCGCTCGGCACCGCACTAGCGCCACCGGGGAAGCTGGGATGCTCTCAGATGGCATCAGGAAGACAGCGCGCTTCAAGCACAGCTGGGGCGCCTTTGCACTTTACCCATCATGCATCTCCGCCCCAGGCAGTTGAGTTTAAGGGCAAAGGGGTCTCGACCTTCTGAAGTCAGGAACAGTGTACGATACAGGCACGAGAGCACTCTCAGAAGGAAGGTTGGGTTAGCCTCACTTCGAAAACTACCTGAGAAGAAAAATAAAATAAAATACGGAATAAGACCAAAAAGTAAAATAAGCTGGGGCATATAGCTCAGTGACAGAGCCCTTGCCTCGCGTGTGTGAAGTGCCATATTTGATCTCCAGGGGAGCAAGGTAAATAAAATAAAATAGAATAAAACAAAAAGAACTAAAATAAAATAGTTTTGAAATTTTATCTTTATTTTTAAATTACTGATGAGGATGCACCTGAGAGCTAAGTGGAACTTAAGAGTCGTTGCTTGCTTGGATTCACAGTGTCTTCATTAAATTCTAACCTCTCACAGAGTTTCACAGTGTAAAGGAGAAATTTGAGGAAATTTAAAATGTGGGTTTTCAGTCAGTGCATTTCCCTGTGTGAGCAAAAGGTCAGCATTGTTTTCTGTGGGTCAGCCCTGTAAAGCATGCAGGAAGCCAGGGCAGATGGAAGGACAGACGATGACAAAGTGATCTAAATGCGTGGCACGCCCAGGGGGCCCCATCTTTGCTCACTTGCTGGGGAATATGGAGAGCGGGTGCTTGTCAGTGTTTCAAGTCATCAACATAAACCCAGGAAATGTTTCAAAAATGTACAGTTCTGGGAGTACAACCCCAGACGTTTTTAATTTGGAGAATTGCATCTTCAAAATAACATTCCTGAGGTCAAATGAGTGTGTCCGCTATGGCTTGGCTATTTTTCAGATTTGCAACCCACATACGCATAATGTATGACTTCTTTATGCAGATGACTGTTGAATTGCAGAAGGAGCCTGCCAGGGAATGAGTGGCTCTGGTGGCAGTCAGCAGAAAAGCACCTTTAGCTGCAAGATGCAGGCTATTAAAGGCTTTTACTGTAAAATATTTTGCATCCTTTGAACATTCATGCATTTTTTCCCCGCACATGTTCACATCTTTTCTATTTTATTTTTCTCCTGCTTACTGCTTATTTGGTTTTTAATTTAGTTTTAAACTTCAGCTTCACTTTGGGAAGATATTTAAATATAACCAATTCTGGTTGATTTTCTGGTTATGGGAAGAATAGGCCAAGTTCACGCAGTTACGTGTTACAGCAGGACAATGCGTGATCAGTTTGACAAAACCTGTGTTGCATAAAGTCCCATGGAACAGGGGAAAGGAAGTGGCATGGGCCATCTGAACTACCTTAGAAATATGAAAGAGAAAATCAAAAGAATGTTAAAGAACTGGAGTCGCCCAAAATTGTGCATCTTCTTTAGTTTTTGGTTGTTGTTCAAAAAGTACTTCTTTTAGAATATTTTAAAAATTTCAGGGGGCTGTGAGATAGCTCAGCAGTGTAAGTACCTACCTGGCAAGCACAAGGCCCTGAGTTTGATCCCTGGTACCCAAAAAGAGTATCACTCAGCTATAAAAAAGATAAACTCCAGGCTTTTATAATGAAATAAATCAGACCCACATGTGTAAACATCGTATTGTCTCCCGAGTATAAGAACCTGAAAGAGTAAATAAAATCTGAAAGGCTCAATGAATACTGTGAAAGGGAAAGAAACTGTTCAAAGGGAAGGAACACCCAGGATGAGAGGAAGGGAAAAAGAAGAAAAGAAGGAAAAGAAAAAGAAATATATATGTACAAACACAGGATAGCTTGGCTAATTGTACTGCTGATTTCTGCTGATCTATTGAAAGGAACAGTAATGTTTGGATTCTTTTCTCTCTCCTTTTTAATTTTTTATAATGGTTTGTTGACCAGTTTTGCATGCTTATATCTGGTAACCTGAACAAGTAATTTGAAGACAACAATATGCAATAGGAATTGTTGGATTCCTGGGCCAGGAGATAGCTCAGTAAAATAAGTGCTTGCCTGGCAAGAGCAGGGTCCTGAGTTCAATTCCCAGTAC